AAGCACGAAGCAAGCACGAAGCGGCAGGGAGGGCGAGAGGAGGTCAGCGGGGGATGCGGTACCGTTGGTACGATGGTGGTCGGGGGCTGACGCACGGCCTGAACGCCGGTGGCCAATCCCTGGATCCTGGAAACCGCGGCTGCGCCCTGTCGCGATTTCCTCCCCGGCCGTAGGGACCACGGGGAGAAGAGAAGAGGGTGAACGTACAACACGGTGGCGGGGAGAACTTCGAGGGCAGACGTTTCAAAGCTATCCCAACGGAGAGACACGCCGAGACGCCCCTGTCATCGGGAGCCCTTCGGTCTCAGTAAGTATTCTCAATGACTTTTTCCCTCACGTTTGCATGTTTTCATCTTCCGGTCTGGTTTGCTTCGTTTTCGTTCTCTTCATTTGCGCCGGTGATTCACTGCGAATTGCTCCCGTCGTTTATCGACGTTGACATCACCGGGCGGTGACGGAGGGTGCAAGCTCTCGTCGTCTGCAGCGATGCCTGCAGCAGCCAGGTGCCAATTCGACGATTCTCCATTTTAGTGTTTAGCACTCGATCTCGTTACTGATGCATACGATCAGTGGTTTGATCTTAGATTTCATCACTTTTATTATTTCGTCTCGTTTCGTGGCTCATTGTTCGCGTTTTTCGTTTGAAAGTGAATGGCGTTGCTTAGTCAGTCGACGAGATACCTTCTCTCAGGTGGAGATTCCCCTTTTTGATCGAAAAAAAAAAAAAAACGGGGAAAAAGAGTCGAGAGTTATATAACATGTCATGATGACGTGTTACACGAGTGATAACATCACTGCAGAAAACGACACTTGTCTTTCATTCTTTTACTAAGGAAGATGTTCTTTTGTGACGTTTCAACGAGCAAACGCGATATATAAATGGTTGAAAAGTTTAATTCCAGGAAAATGAAAGATTGCTTTTGTTTAAATGGTGTCAGACGCAAATAACGCGGGAGTAAATAAATACGTGGAAATACCACGAGACTGCGACATGGGGAAGGATAGGAAATTACCTTGGGAAGTCACGCACATGTATAATATACATGGTGTTCTTCCAATGTGGAGGTATAGAGCCACCGTTATAGATAGATGTTTAAATTCTAAATATAGATTGGTCAGGGTTCGACGCGTCTATAAGATAATAGACAGGTTGAGAAGAATTGTGTCGGTTTCGAAGAACCAATGGACAAAAAGAGCTTATTGTCAGCTACATCGTGCTATAGACAGAGGGGTGAGGGGGGACGTGCTAAAGACCGACAACTTTTTGATTGGAATCACTTTTCATCCTTTTCATTTCTCTGTGTCTGTTCCTATGAAACATTAACAGAGATTGTGTCAAATTATCGTACCCTACTCGAAGAGAGTTTCCTTCGAAAGTTGTTTCGAAAATTTGGAAATACTAAACGTCGCGAAATGTCACCGAATCTTAGGGAATATTTTCGAAGAATATCTTTCATCGTGTATTTTAAAATTTCTACCGTTTCAACGTTTCTCTTGTTTCAAGATACATGGGATATGACCGTTTGTTGCAGGCTCGGTTACAAATTCGGCTGGAAAGGTGGAGGGCCCGGAGACGCAAGAAGCTAAGGAGTCGGTGAACGGCTCGAGGGCCGGACCGGACATCACCTCAAAGCTGAGCAGTTTGTTCGCCGGACTTCCTAGTTTGGCGGGTCCCCAGCGCCTCGCCACTACCCTCAGGCAGAGATTCGCCAACAACTCCGGTAAGTTTACAAATTTTCTCGGCCCACGGCGTTTCCCCTCGTCGTGACGCTGTACGCGTCTATGGAGGCTCGTTACGATCGTTGACGAAGTTACGGTTCCCTGCACGCCAACCCAGTCATCGTAATTAATAAACGAGGGTGCGGACACGACGCATCGAACGACGTTAGCAGGGACGTCAGTTTACGAATGATCGTTTCACGGAAATAATTAATCCGTTCTGGCCTGACGGGTGACAACAGACACACACACACACACACACATACACACACACATAGCGATTTAGCACTTAAATTTAATGTTTCACGTCGAATAAAACAATCTTAGCTATACAACTAGCCTTCAATTCAAACGTTCGTGACTCCTCGCTTTCTCTCAATTTCGATGTAGGGTCAATGCTCGTTAATAAATAAATAAATCAACGAGTAATAACAATCTATTCCTTATTGGTATCTCTATAAAAAAAAAAGAATTAAATAAAAACTCGTCCCAGTGAAATGAAACGTTCTTGTGTATGCGCTGAATGTTTCATCGCGATACGTAGAAGGGAGGAAATACGTCGAAGGGCGGGAGGGGATAGAAGGTATTGAGTTGGGCTTTGTTTTCGCAACCAGGACGTATACACAACACGTATGGTTCAACTGCTGCTTTCTTTCCTTGGCCGGCAAGGTTCATTAAATAATTACCACGCACCCCATTTATAGAGTAAAGCCATACCTCGTCCACAACTCGACCTTCACCCTCGTTTCGCTGGCAAGAGAACCCGGTGTTTTTATCTCTCGTAACACGATACGCAGATACCAGACATAGGTTAGCTAGGTACAGATCGTGCCGCCTTATCGAGGGGGAGCCTCCACCCGGTGTCATGTTCACTTCTATACCCACCAGAAGCAACCGAGGAATCAACTACACGACGCGTGGTTGATAAAGCGGAGTGAAAACCTTCATCGAACGAAGACGAGCTCGTCCATGCTGTCGACGATCGTAAAAGGTCGGGTTGGGGTGGGATGAATCGGTGTGCGCCGATCAGGCCGGGTCAGGGCTCCCCTTTCTTTTCGAGAATTTCTTTCGAGAAAGACCAAAAAAAAAAAAAAAAAAAAAAAAAAAAAAAAAAGAGCAAAAGGAGAAAAGAAAGAAAACTTCTCTCATTGGCCCACGCGGTACGAAGAGTATACATATCCGCCTGGCGAATCAGTGCCAAGGAAAACGGGAAAACTGCGAAATTAAAGTAACCGAAACGAAAGATAAAAAAAAAAAAAGAACAAAAAAAAAAAGAAAAGAAAAAAAAAACACGTTGATCGTACGAAGATTTCGGGAGCTAACCGTGCCAACTCGGTGATCTGTTGTAGGTTACCCCCGGCCCGGCCTGATGCGCGCCGCCCCAATCGCGACGATTCCTTCGTCACGTCATCTACGTCTACTCCCAAGATCGCATCAAGTGATCGCGATTAGTTCCTCTTGCTAGACCCTGACGGAAGACTAGGTTGCTCCTGCTCCTGTTCAGAGGCGAGGATATCTAAAGCGACCGACACCATGACGACGATACCGATACTCAACATTGAGCTCAGCGAGCTCAAGGAGCTCGTGTGGATGAAGTTGCAGGAGCCGAAGGCTCAACGGAAGCTCGTTCTGATTATCGTCTCGATAGCGCTGCTGCTCGATAACATGCTGTACATGGTGATCGTGCCGATCATACCAGACTACCTGAAATACGTCGGCGCGTTCGGCGACGTGGAGGAAGAGGTGAACGCGACGGGGCCGCCTTCCCATCACGGCCAGGATTCAGCCACCGGTGTGCTGTTCGCGTCGAAGGCTATCGTTCAGCTGATGGTGAACCCATTTTCCGGGGCGTTGATCGACAGGATCGGTTACGACATACCAATGATGATAGGACTCTGCATAATGTTCCTCTCGACGGCTGTTTTCGCCTGCGGCCGAAGCTATGGCGTTTTGTTCTTCGCCAGGAGCCTGCAGGGTGTGGGTTCCGCGTTCGCGGACACCAGCGGCCTGGCAATGATCGCCGATCGTTACACGGAGGAGTCAGAGCGCTCGAAGGCCCTCGGCATCGCATTGGCGTTCATCAGTTTCGGCTGTCTGGTGGCTCCGCCGTTCGGCGGTGCTCTCTATCAATTCGCGGGCAAGGAGGTGCCCTTTCTGATACTCGCTTTCATCAGCCTCGCCGACGGGGTGATGCTTCTGCTGGTGATGAAACCGCTGAGGGAGCAAGTGATAGACAGCAAACAATACGAGCAGAAACAGACGATACCGATCTGGCGACTGCTGATGGACCCTTACATCGCTGTATGCGCGGGCGCTCTGATGATGTCGAACGTCGCGCTGGCCTTCCTCGAGCCGACCATCTCGCTGTGGATGGAGGACAACATAACGCGCGACAACTGGAAAATGGGAATGATCTGGCTGCCGGCGTTCTTCCCTCACGTGTTCGGCGTCGTGATAACCGTCCGGATGGCCTCCCGATATCCTCAACAACAGTGGCTGATAGCAGCCTCTGGCCTGGCGTTGGAAGGCTTATGCTGCTTCATAATACCATTCTGCACGTCCTACGAGGTCCTTATGATCCCGCTGTGCGGCATTTGTTTCGGCATAGCTCTGATCGACACGGCTCTGCTGCCGACCCTGGGTTACCTGGTGGACGTGAGATACATCTCCGTGTACGGCAGCATCTACGCCATCGCCGACATCTCGTACAGCGTGGCGTACGCGGTGGGACCTATCATAGCCGGCGGTGTCGTGGAGGCGATCGGTTTCACGGCCTTGAACGTCGGCATAGCCTTCTCCAATCTCCTGTACGCCCCGGTGTTGATATACCTGAGGCACATCTACGACTTCAAACCGTTCCAGGACGAGGCGGACGTTCTCATGCAGAATCCACCGGACAAGGAGTATCAGACGTACGTGTTGCAGGAGCAGAGGCCGCTGACTGGCGAGGTGGGCAACCACCTGAATCAAACGCGCATGGAGACGAACGTGGATCAAGGTTACGATCAGAATTACCAGGCTGGACAGACTTACGATCAGGGCGGTTACGGCCAGAATATCAATGCCGGCGGGTACATGCAGGCCTCGGCAACCGGTTACGAGAAACCGCCGATGTACGAGCAACCGGCCAATTACGGGCAACAGCCTGTCGGTTACGCTCAGCAGAGACCTTACGGGTCTCAAGAGCCTCAGGCAGGAAGTCAGGTGGACGTCAATCCATTCAGGAGAGCACCTCCGAACGTGGAACAGAAGCCTGCCGGCGATAGCAATCCATTCAGACAAGGAATGTATTAACGCGGTCGTACAGGATCGCACAGTTTACCGGGTATTCGTACCGATCGTTCGCCATCGAGTCGAGAACACGAGAGCTACGAGAATCCGCGTCACGAATATCGTGAAACAGTCTTCGAGATAGGCTTCCAGTTGTCAGAAGAATATTATACCCGTCGCACGTATGCGCTACCGACGATCCTCTGGGAATTAACGACGATCGCCTGAGCGTTTTCGTTATCACTTTCGGTGACGATCTCGCCAAGTGCATCGACGTCTCCGTCGTCGGCTTGCGGTTACGAATTATCGAGAGGGGGCCGTGAAAGAATGATTGCTCCGAGGTATCTCCCATATGGGCAGATTACTCCGGAGGATACACCGCGAAGTTCTATGCTCGTATATATATATATATATGTATCGATATTCAACGATGGTCTTGGGATCATTCGGAAGTGGTAGTGTCGGAAAATTAAATCGATCTTACGGATATGTTCGAGGAGCGATCGTTTCTTTTTTTTTTCTTCTTCTTCTTTTTTGGTTGAAACTAAATGAAGGACGATGAGAATTATGAACAAATTGGTGTTCATAGATCGTGATTGATATGATGTTTGAGATATATCGGTCGTCGTGCTGCTCCATTAACTCGATGACTGTTCTTAACCTTTTTTCCCTTATTTCTCGTTTCTACTGTTTTACAGTTCGCGCACTTGTTCCATAATTCGAGTTTTATTCCTTGTCTCATTCAACGATTTCACATCAGTGTAACATTTGCGGAATAAATACTTCTTAGGGAAAATTGGTTGCTTTTAGTAATTTCGAAATTTATCGCCTTCTCGACTACTAGAATTTTCTCGGTATTTCGAATGCATTTCGATATCGTTTGATTTGCAACGGAAACGACAGTCATCGTGCTAACAGTTGGAAAGTACACACCGACTGCTATATAAAGCAACAAGACTTCACGCAACGTGTCCAATGACACATGGGAAAACATAAAATAGGGAATAACAATTATTTCGAAAGATAGAATCAGAAGCAGAAACAGCTAGAACGTAGTGAAACCAAAACGTCGTAAGCGTGGAAATCGTTGAAACGTCGACGAAGTGATAAGAGGAAGTGATAAGAGAGAACAGGGTGGGAGGGGGAGGGAGGGAAGAAAAAAATGAAGGACGATCCGAGAAGAATTGTCCGCGTCTCGCGGACGAAGCTGTGAAAGGAAGAACGTAATCGCGACGGAGGCTCTCCCTCAACAAGGACCTTCGCTCGCGAATTGCCACCGAACATCGGCAAGACCTTTAGTTTTTAATCGTTCCGTTTGAATTTCATTGTTGAACCGAAGTATCATATCACTAATTAAGGGCGTCAAATTAGTAGCTACCGAAGCTTTCATGTAGGTAATTGTATAGATAATGTGTACGGTGAAGAGGAAGTATGTGATGTAACCACGATATCGGTAAAAGTACGTCGTAACGCGTAATAACATATCATTCTTATTTCGATTCTTATTGATTTGTTATCGTAGACTAACACCAAGCACGTGCGTATTCTCATTTAGTGGTAATTTCTTTTTTCCCTTTTTTTTTTTTT